TACAGAGACAGATTTAAAACATTACTGGGCATAGTCAAATAAAGTAAATGGTATACTGTCTCATTTCAATTTCAGCTATAAGTTACAGAGAAACTTTTGTTTCTAAATTTGCCATATACACATTTCTGAAATTACATCCTCCAGGGACTGCCTTCCTAAGTTGAGGATATCAGTATTTATCACAGCTCTTCCTGGCATGGAGGCTTTGACAACAACAAATACCAAAATAAATGCATTATGCCACACAATCGGGAGGCTCTGCTCTCACTGAATTCTGAATAAGAGACAGATAATCCTGTTCTGATTCTCCAACATGTGCTTCTGCCAATCTCAAACTTTTCTTCTTTGAGACAAATAGCTGTTTTTAGTAAGAGGTCAGTGTACTAATGATAACTTTAAAGAGTTAAGAAGATTTTGCATTGACTATTTCAGTTATCTTGAGGTCTCCAGATTTGTAGATATCTCCTCATTCATTTTCCAAAAGGCCCATAAAGCTGGTTTGGAGAAAGTATGAGTGTGATTTTTTTCTCAGGTAGAAAAAAAAAAAAAGTGACCCCATATCAGTAATCTAAACATTACTTGATTTTTTTTTTTTGAAGTCATACCAAATTTCTGTCTTCAGAAAATGTTTCTTTTTTCTCCCACTTGTCTTCTTCAACTTTTGAACAAATACTTAAAAAATATCTTGGTGGCATGATTACTGTAGAAAGAAACCAGTGTCATAAATGGAGTGATCTGGGCTAACCTTTATCCGTCCTGGGAACCCCTTTTACATGATTTATTTAGAGACTACTCCCATCCTTTAGTCTCTCCTCCCTCGGATTTCTGAAAGCTTAGGAACTCCCACTCTGAGATACTCTCTGTTCTCTCCTCACATGGATCATATCTGCTACTTTGAAATCAACATCCCTACCAGACACGTGTCACATTTAAGGTCACACACAGTACCATGTCCTGGAATAATAAGGCTTTCTGCTGCTGTTCTACCCTGAGGGCGTTCCGTAGGCATTTTAGGAACTCAATCTTGAAGGCTCAAGCTAAGCAAGTGAGTTCAGCTTGTACTCATCACCCAGAATCCTCTAGTATTCACTTTCACCTCCAACTTCCCACTCTCTCGCCTCCAACTAAAGGGTTCCCAAGGTCAGTTCTGGCTTAGCTACATCATTCATCTTCTACCTCCTTGTCATGCCTGCAGCAAGCCGTGTTTCTCTTCTCTGAGAGGCTGACCCAGAGCTCCTGGTTGACCAAGCTCGCTTCTCCCTGAGGACCAAAGGGCAGCATCATCGGCCAGAGACAAAAAGAACCCTGGGGAAGACATCCTCCCTTGCTTTCCTGCCTGTTGGAGTGGGGGCCAAGGCAAAACTTGCTCCTACTTTTCTACTTTGCCCTTTACATTAACAACAACAATTTGAAGGGTGTTAAGGTTTAACGTATTCTCCGCGGATTCAGACAAGTTCCTAAAATTAAGTACTACACTCTATTACTTATTAATGACACCTGATTCAGAAGTTTTTCTTCACGTACTTCCTCATTTTCCGGTCTTTGAACTTCCCTCTCATGTTAGAGCCAAGCAGCTGTAGCAAACTAGCCATTATTTTTTCCTGCATTGCAGAAAATAGAATAACACTCTCCAAGTGTAATCCAGCTTCTGTGATTTATATTCATCAGCACCTCAGGACTCTGCACCACACCAAGCCTTGTGACCATCTGGAATGTTGCAGACCCAGTTATGGCCATGATGCACGCCTCTATTCTCCAAGGATTCTCTATTCTACCCTCAGCCAACAATCTGCCCTCATGACAGCAGTCTTCATTGCAGGGATATGGTCAGCAGGGAGGAAATATGCTTACAATGCAGCACACCTGGATTCCTCTAAAAATCATATACTATCCCTCTAAAATCACCTACATTTTTCCATCTCCCTGTCCCCTAGTCGGTAAGATATTTAAGTATCAGAACCCCTATTGAGATATTGGACAATCACTCTATAATTCTTTCTGTATGCATGGTAGTAATAAATGTGTATGCCTTTTCTCATTAATCTGCCTCTTTGTGAGTTGATTTTTCAGCAAACCTTCCGAAGGGAAAGGGGAAGCGTTCCCTTTGCCCTGCAGCTGGTAATAATTTGCTCATGGCAGCACATGGTACAAAAGGTAGAAAGTTACTGAGTGAGCGACCCACTGTCAGGAGACTGGCCCAGGATCAGAGTGCTTACCCGGCTCACCAGGGGGCGCTGATTTTGTACTGATTTTTACCAACCCCTCAACCACTGACTCCTGGGCAGCTAGCTACCCATGGAAGGTAAGGCTCCATTGCGGGGGGAAGTCAGTGGGCATTCATTATCACACAGGGGCTTTCTCATTTTCTTTTCTAAAATCCTTAATAGTATCCTGTGTACATCATCTAAATGTGACCTTTATGTTTTCTATGAAGAAGTATATATATATGTGTGTGTATATATACATAGTATACACTATATATGTGTGTGTATATATATACTATATGTATACTATATATAGTGTGTATATAGTGTACATATAGTGTATATATCCATATATACTATATATACACTGTATATACACTATATATATACTATATATACACTATATATACACACTATATATATACACACACATATATATATTCTACATAGAGGCACACTTCTGATATATGAAAGCATAGGATTACAACCAGCTGTGATTTGTATTTTATTTTAGCTTCTGAACTTAAAATTCTCTGATTAATATAACGTAATCTGTTCATTTAGGGATTTGTGTTTAAGCTCTGTGCTTTAGTGCTAGGTGGCTGCAAATCACAATGTACTTTCAAAACAGAGTATCTTAACCTTTTAATAAATCCTATTCATAACTTGTTCAATTCAAAAAAACTGTTTATAAACATGTTAGACATCTGACACCATTCTATTGCAAGAGGGTAGAAACATTTATTGCAGCAGAATACTATGGTTATTCACTCTCGAGTTTATTATTCCCCTTATTTTATTGTAGCAACTCTGGATTCTTTAGTATAAAGAGAAATTGAAAGAAACAAAATATCTGTAGTCTTGGTTTGAGAAGTACACTGGGATCTGGTGGCCTAAACCATATATACAGAATATAAACATATGTATACTTTATATGTACATAGTTAATGGTTACCTATGCATTATAAATAGTAAGTTTAACTTAGATTCTACAAAAATAATCATTTTGGATGGGTACATGCAAACCAGTACACATAAACCTATTTATAAAACACATCTCTAGGATTTTCTTTTTTTGCTTCTAAATATAAATTTTGCTATTTAGCCATCAGCTAAATGATTTAAATGCAAACCCCAAAGTTTCCAGGTAAAAGTATAAAATCTGCTTCTAACCACAGCAGCATACTGCTTCAAGTATTCTCCTCCTATGTAAGGTGTAGATAATTTTGTCACATGTGAATTTTAAGTGCACATCCCATTTCCTCACATATTAGACATCTTGCCAGGGTCACAGCTTCTTTGTTCCATTTTTTTTTTTAATAAGACATTGCAAACAGTAGCTATTTCTTAAAAGTGACATCATTTTTGCTTTTGCATTCTGATAAAAATGAACACACTTAAGCCTCTTCCTTGCACCCCGACCCTGGTGCCCTAGGATAATGCAAACAAATTCTACGCTCAATGGTTTGCAGGGCCATCCACGCAGGCAGATGACTGAGTGGCCACAAAAGGCTCATTTTGCTTCTGGTCCTCTTTCATGCCAGCTGCCTGGTCTGTGATCGAGGAGAAGGACAGCTGGTCATGCTCTATGATGTGCACTTGATCCTCGTCCTTGTCCTTCTTCACGTAGAACATTTTTCTGAATTTTTTCAGCTCATGGAGTTCACAGAAAGTTTCCAGAACTACCAACATGGCAATAAGGCCAAGTAGCAGGTAACCTGTGTGAGAAACAGGACAGTGTCTCAGTGTGATCTCAACATGGATAAATCAAGTAGCAAGTGATTTACCTCCCCACCTCATGCCAACACAGTGTTTGTTAAGGAATAAACTCATTGCAAGGTTCTTAATTTTTAGAAGTGTTTTTAAGTTCATGGCTCAAAGAGGAACTACCCATTATTAAAGAGTGAAAGATCATGAAGAATGATTTAACCTCCTATGAACTTGGATTAGTCAGAATCACAGGCTGCAATTTTTGAGGAAAAAAAAATACTTGGGGCTGACGTGGCATTACTAAAGACACATAACATACTGCACTTACCCAAGTGTGATGTTTCATGCAAGGAGGGCTTGCCACCTCTGCTTTATAATCAGTGGCTCACAAAATGCCAGTGATGTTTTAGAAAAGGTTTTGTTTTATCATGGGGTGCTCGGAAGAAAGCTTCATGCCTTTTTAAGCACTCAAAACTCTTACAATTTCTACTACAGAGTAAGAGTTTAGTAATAGAAATTGCAGTCTAAATGCTATGGTTTGGCTGTGTCCCCACCCAAATCTCATCTTGAATTCCCACGTGTTGTTGGAGGGACCTGGTGGGAGGTAGTTGAATCATGGGGACAAGTCTTTCCCCTGCTCTTCTCATGATAGTGAATATGTCTCAGGAGATCTGATGGTTTTAAAAAGAGGAGTTCCCCTGCACATGCTCTCTCTCTTTTTGCCTGCTGCCAGCCATGTAAGACGTGACTTGCCCCTCCTTGCCTTCAACCATGATTGTGAGGCTTCCCTAGCCACGTGGTACTGTAAGTCCAATTAAACCTCCTTCTTTTGTAACCTGTCCAGCCTTAGGTATGTATTTATCAGCAGTGTGAAAAAGGACTAATACACTAAACTAAATCAAAATTTAAGAATGAATGTTGATATTAAATAGGTCCTTGTGCATGGCTATCTACACTTGCACCTAAATTCAACAGCAAAGTCAAGCTCTCCATTATCTCCCAGTTGTTTTTGGACATGTGGACTATTCACTGGCCAACACTACCAGTTTCTTACTGGGAAAATAAAGGATAACTGTTGACTCAAGTAAAATGCCTTGCTTGGAATCTGTGATGGGAAATGGTGATTTACAATTCCTTCCATCATTTTAAAAATGAGTTTTCAGAAAAAAAAGTCATCATAAAAAGGAACAGAAATGTGAAGATGAAAACTCCAAGAATAACAAAAATTCTGATTTTATGTCCCAGTGGTAAAACATTTGAGAAGGATTTTCAAAAATGTATGAAGTAGGGAAGCTAAAATTGTCAGCATAACAGGAATAAGAAGGCTGATTAGCCCAAGAATACAAAGTTTTCGTATCTTCAGAATCTGACTATAGGTTTTGAAAACAATATCGTGCATTCAATGTGCTCTCCTGTACTTTCAAAATAGTAACGACATTGTTAGACGAATTGATGGATCAGTGTCTTTTCCTTTATTATTATTATTATTATTACTATTTTGTGAGACACAGCCTCATTCTGTCACCTAAGCTGGAGTACAGTGGCACGATGTCGGCTTACTGCAACCTCCACCTCCCAGGTTCAAGTGATTTATGGCTGATTTTTGTATTTTTAGTAGAGACAGAGTTTCACCATATTGGCCAGGCTGGTCTCAAACTCCTGGCCTCAAGTGATCTGCCTGCCTTAGCCTCCCAAAGTACTACGATTACAGGCATGAGCCACCGTGCCCAGCCTCCTTTATCAAATTTTTGAATGCTGACAAAAATACCCATGGGGTTTCAGACAAAAACTGTGGTATTTTATCCTGCCCACATCTAATATATCTTCAGAACATTCATCTGTTAGATACTCAGGTTCTTGACGCTCAAAACCTAAACTAATTCTATGTACACTGCTTTTTTAAAAAAAGATCCATGTTGTAAGAAGTGATAAAATGTTATACAAGGATTTAGTATTATATGAAACACTGAGGAAGTAAAGTGGTTGGGCAAAATTTATGAGAAGAATTTATATAAGAGAAAATTATTGCAGCTAGCAAGCATAATTACAGAAACATTCTACTTTCCAAGTCACAGAATAAAATAAAATAAAGTAAAACAATCACCTATTATATGAAAAGAAAGTTAAGATAATGTTTATTTGGCTATCAAACTCACATATACGAAAAACATCTCTAATGCTACTGGCCATCACCACCCCACTGTCACACTCAGATAATGCTGGTGATGTGTCAACTCACAACATTTGGAAAGCACCAGGTCATTATGTTCTATGAGTCACAAAAAGGCGTATTCACTTTGAACCAGCAATCTCATTTCTTGGAAGAATATCAGAGGAAATGTGTACACATACAAAAGTATTCTTGGCCTGGCATAGTGGCTCACGCCTGTAATCCCAGCACTTTGGGAGGCTGAGATAGGCATATCACGAGGTCGGGAGTTCGTGACCAGCCTGGCCAACATGGTGAAACCTCGTCCCTACTAAAAATACAAAAAATTAGCCAGGTGTGGTGGTGGGTGCTTGTAATCCCAGCTACTCGAGAGGCTGAGGCAGGAGAATGGCTTGAACCCAAGAGGCGGAGGTTGCAGTGAGCCAAGATCGTGCCATTGCACTCCAGCCTGGGCAACAAGAATGAAGCTCCATCTCAAAAAAAAAAAAAGAAAAAAGAAAAAAAAATTATCTGCAGTGTCATTTATAATACCCCTGAATTAGAAGAAAGCTAACTAGTGAGCAATAGAGTCATGACTGGATTATGGTATGGCCACCTGGTGAATATCATATGGGCTCTAAAAATAATACCTATGGTAGCTACAGGAAATACAAAATCATCCTAAGTAACCATTTAGCAAAAAAAAAAAAAAACAAAACAAAAAACAATCGAACTTGTATGGTAGCCAGGTACTGCTCAAAGCGTTTCCCAATGATTTATGAGTGAAGTCTTTGTTTTGGCTGAGCCCACGGTTTAATGGAAATGTCAAAATACACACAATTCAACTAAGCATTTTGTAGGGTTAAGAATCACAAGATAGAGCCAAGACCGAGCATCTGGCTGCTTGAGTATCTACTATGATTTCCTAGAAAACATGACGTGAGCCGAGTCATAAATTGAAAAATTCTTAAGAAGGCAAGACACAAATGAAAACAGCAGGTACATTACACCTGCAATTCTGTGCATCCTGAAAAGGACAGGAAGGCTCACACAGAAATGAAGTTTCTCGAAAACAGATGGTTAAGTTTTCTACGATATTATACTAAATTTAAAATGAAAACTGTTAAAACATTATAAATCCCTGGCCATCTGAATTTGAATGCCCGTTTTATTTTCCACATACAAAATTCTGGAAACCGTTAATAGAGGCTAACTTCTTCTAAAAAGAACCAGATGGACAAATGAGGTAAGCAGCTCTTTTAAGACTTTTCTGGTAAATTAAAGAGCATGATTGATAACACGCTCTATCCGAGGCCTAGTTTTCTTGGCCTTAAAATATTTAATAAAGTAGAGCAATCTTTTTTTTTTACATTAACAGTTGGTTATCAAGTACATTCTGTATGAGGTATTTTTACACTGTCATTTATAATGCCTACATTATTAGTAAGAAATTGATCTGCAATTTTAAGGTGCTTGTGAAAAATAACTCAGTAATAAGATTTTTGCATAAAGAGTTTTGAAGGAAATCACGAAATGGTTGAGAAGGTGGTAAATTCAGAAAACTTCTCAGTGAGAAGAAAGCAATCAGTGTTTCTATGAATAACTCCTCACTGGGAGGTGAGGTGGAGCTTGGAGTGGCAAAATAGAGACAGAAGCCTGTAATCCCAGCTACTTGGAAGGCTGAGGCAGAGAATTGCTTGAACCTGGGAGGCGGAGGTTGCAGTGAGCCGAGCCAAGATTGCACCACTGTACTCCCAGCCTGGGCGACAGAGTGAGACTCGGGCTCAAAAAAAAAAAAAAAATAGAGACAGAAGGAGCAGCCAGGGAGCCATAATACTCACACGTGATCCCAATCTTGTAGAGCTCTCTGAATTTTTGATTGTAGCCTTCCCCAGGCACATAATCTCCCAGGCCAATGGTGCTCAGGGAAATAAAACAAAAATAAAAGGATTCCAGGAAGTTCCAGTCATCCTCCAGGACTGAGAAGACAGCAGCTGGGATGAAGAAGAAGCAGGACACAGTGACAAACCCAAGGAGCACGGCGTGGACGATGGCCACCACCTGCTTGGAGAAGCCCCAGCGGATGTGGAAGTAGAGGACCGGCCTGCGAGTGACGTGCACGGTGATGCGCTGGACCACAGCCGTCAGGAACAGGAGGGTGAAGGGAATGCCGATGACGGAGTAGATGATGCAGAAGGCCTTACCCCCATCTGACAAGGGCACGGTGTGGCCATAACCTGCAAGGAGAACAAGGTCACTGAGGCGAAGAGGAAGAGACTACGTGGCAAACACATTTTTAAAAAATATATGCCTACCGTCTGCACTTATTCCCCTCAAACTAAAGAGAAAAGCGAGACTTCAGGTCTGCCACTTTAGAGGCTCTAGCATAATTGTCACGTCCCAGTAAAATTCAACAGTGGTCGCCATAAGTTTGGAAGTCCACCATTCTTTGTAAAATCCAACCAGCAATTCCAATACATCAGGGTCTCTGGTCTTGAATTCACTATCAGGCTCAAACACAAGTTCTGTGTGCTAAGGAACTAAGGCCCACACCATCTTAGACCATCAGGAAAAACTCATCTGTGGCCACCCACGTCACCAGGGCCAGTCTATCCCCTCCACCCCTTCACTTTCCCCAAGGATCCTCATTAGTGTCTAAACCTCAGTCTACACTTACCTCCCAAACAAACTACTCAGAATGTTCTAACAGTAACGACTGACAAATAAAGGCGTGTGAACAGAACCAAGATAATATGAGTCCAGTAAGAGGGTGGAGTAGAATCAATGAAGATAGAGGTATCAAAAAGAGGAAGAAAAATGAAGATTAAAGCACGCCATGTCATAGGATGGAGCACTGGTATACAGCACCCTTGACATGAGTAACTCCATCTTAGAAAAAGACTCCATCTTACATTTCATAGGGCTCTTTGCCAACAGGGACAAGATGTTATGCTTAATAAATAAAGTCTGCATCCAACCAGATAAGGGCAAAAGCAAGCACATTGTGTCACTATCAGTCCTTGCCAGAGGACTCCGTGGCCATAAAAAGAGCAGGACATCAGTAGCTCAAAATGGCCACCTCAACTGACACTGCCTTGCTGTCAATTGTGATTAGCACTTGGCATTTGCTGGGAAGGCTCTGCCCCCACTGAAGACTCGTCGTTGCAAAACCTGTGGACCACTCGCCTGGCCCGACCTTTGTGTCTTTGTTGCTCTCCCAGTCTCCCTGGACTGGTTTGTTAACCCTTCTTCTTGTCCCTTTTCTCTTGATGTTATCTGTTACTTTGTTTGTTGCAAAATGTTTGACCTGTAACACCTATCTATTGATTAAGTATACTATTATGTATGGTTTGCAATACAATTGACTTGTGAGTGGCTTATGTGCCTATGGCTCTGACTACCGAGTAAGCAGGAGGTACTAGGGAAAATTCCCTCCTTGGAATTCCATGCAACTCCCGGCTTTTGTGACGGAAATAGCATCAGTAAAAGTCTGACACTATGGAAAGACACAAACGTGTGTGGACGTGGTTATCTCTGACTCTGTACGGCTCATGAGAATACTTCTTGTCAAATATTTTGCCCAATTATCTGGTTAAATGGCACATTCATAAACCGACACATTTCCCCTACCCCACCCCTTGTCACTTCTGTATTTTCAAAGATATCATAAATTCCACAAACAAACATTGAAAAAAGTACATTAGGGCCAGTGGTTGAAACACGTGTCTGTTTTACTTTCTACCAGGTTGAAGTTATTCCCAAATCAAGCCAATCAGGGGACTCTTCATCCAACCAACGCCAACAGAGAATCCAGCTGGGCATGGGGCCTGGTGGCTATTTTTAAAATCTCATGAGCACTTCATCTTAGAAGGACTAACATGTCTGAACAAGTCAATTCAGGAAAAAGCCAGCTAAATACATTTTTTTATGAAATTGGATTCTGAGAAAAATCTACATAGGTGATTATAATTGAAAAGTAGTTTCAAAATCTGATCTGCAAAATACACTCAGCTTAAAAATAAACAGATCCCTCAGTTGCAAATCCACCAAATTCTCTGCCTTACACCTAAGGCTTATACAAGTGTATGTGGGTATTAAAAAGCTTCCTCGATTATTCCCACGTACAGCCTTACCACAGCAGAGGCAGGGTTCTTGACCCACTGCCCCAGAAAGTACACAGTTTATGAATGAACTACAGCACAGTCCAGGAATCCTCTGAGATTGTACATCCACTTTCCCATGGAGAGATTCCAGGGCTTCAATTCTCAAAAGGGGTACGCATCCTCAAATGGTTAAGAACCACTCTTGTTCTGAGTGTCGGTTCCTGAATCCATCTGGTCCCTGCACACCCAACTGCTCCTGGAATGCGATGACTAATTTTGGGCATGATATTGAAAGAGGGAAGTGGGCAAGTTGGAGAGTGCCTTGAGAATAACATGAAGGATGGTGCCAAATAATGTTCATCCTACACATGGAAGCAGGAGCCTTTGAATGTTTCATTTTGAGAAAAAAATATGTGAAGGAAGAATGAGACTTGTTCTGAGGAAAGCAGCTGATATCACAGAACCACCTGAACTAATGGGAGCTTCGACTTCAGCGAGGCACCAAAGAGGGATGTTCCCATGCTTGCAGAGATCCGGAAATAGAATCTGAAAATGCAACTTTATTTAACCATAAAAAAGCAAACTGGAGGCTGGGCGCGGTGGCTCGTCCCTGTGATCCCAGGACTTTGGGAGGCCAAGGTGGTCGGATCACGAGGTCAGGAGTTCAAGAACAGCTTGGCCAACATGGTGAAACCCTGTCTCTACTAAAAATACAAAAATTAGCCGGGCATGGTGGTGGGTGCCCGTAATTCCAGCTACTTGGGAGCCTGAGGCAGGAGAATTGTTTGAACCTGAGAGGCGGAGGTTGCAGTGAGCAGAGATGGCACCAATGCACTCCAGCCTAGGTGACAGAGCAAGACAGTCTCAAGGGAAAAAAAAAAAAAGCCAACTCAACTGGAAAGCGTTTCACAAATGTAGTCACCAGCTTGTGACTGAAAGTGCTAGATATTAATAATAGTACTCACACGACCAGAGGGTCAAGCAGAAACTGCAAGAGATGAATTTAGCTTTGGCACTGATTTTGTCGAGAAAACATAAGTTCAGCTGAGTCAGTTGGAATCCACGAAGGCCTTTAAGTCTATGATTTTATTACTTTTTTTGGTAGCCTTTTTATAAATTAGCTTTACTAAAAGTGTAACACACAATCCAAATTTTCCATACCATCTGTTCCAATAAATTACATGATTTAGGTTCTAGTAGAGAAAAAAAAGTAAACAAACTTCTAACTTAAAAATATTTTAGCTTAGGAATTTTCTCTCAAATTGTGATAGCTCTTTTCATTAGAATGTTAACTAAATCTCATTTACTAAAATGTTATCTTCAAGCAATAAAGATAATCATTATAAGACTCTAAGACCTCTCTCTGCAGTGATGGCATTTTTATGCTAGTACTGTAAAAATATTATATATTCCCACTAAGAGATTTAAAATCATCACCATGCAGATCCTTACTGAAAGTAATTTTCCTCTCCTGATGTGTACATAAATAATTTTTTGGTAATGGAAAGTAAAATTTAAAATTTACATCTCATTTGCATTCCACACACTTAGCGCAGGCCATATTGAGTAAACCCCCCTCTGCACCAACTACAACACAGCGCTTCGTTTGCAGTAGACGGCTTAATGCATCTGACGGAAACTTTCAGTCCTATTGAATTTTAATGAAGTGGTGAATAATTTACTCAAGTCCAGTCAATTGAATCTTCAGCTAAACCATGAAGCAAAACTCATATTTTTAAATCTTATAATCATATTTAACTCCATTACAAACCACAAAGAATTTAGCAAAATGTTAATAGACCTGGCTTACTTGGGTTAAATTTTTCTAAGGCCGGTCATCACATAATTTTTGGAACCAAAAGATTGAACATAACAGACTGCTGAAAAAACTGACCTCAAAATTAGTTACAATCCTGAGACAAAGCTCTCACTCACTAATATTCTTGTATTCTAGCCTCCTACTCCACAACTGCTGGGTTTCCTGTTATGAACTTGCACCTGTGAGGCATGTATGAGTATATGTATAATGGGTGGTTGTAATGATGACAGTCTCCTACTAAATTTGCCTTCCCATCTGGCTACTCTAATTACAACAGCCCCGACACTATGCTGGCTAATACCCAATCAGGGGCTATGCGACACTAGATTTTTCTGGTATTTAAATGCTCTCTAATGAAGGCCAAGACAGAGAACCTTTGTGGGCTCCTATTGAGTACATCGGAGCAAGTCACTGATATGCAGCTTCTTCACATATACCAGATGCTTTTGAGAAAGGTGTACCTTACAACGGCCCCAAGTTATGACCCTGAGCCTGTAACAGTATCACTTATTTGCATTATTTAGTATCATATGGAACAATGTATACATTCTCCATTAAGTTAGCTTGATATATGGAAGAAGAAGAAGCAGGAGGAGGAGGAGGGGGAGGAGGAGGGGGAGGAGG